GCAAAACTATCGGAGACACAGACACGGCGCACGAGGACGGTGACCAGGCAGGGCTCCACGACGATGACATCTTGATTCTTGGCTTCTTATGAATTGCGATCACCGACCAGTTGTTTAGGCCCAAGGTGTTTTTTTTTTTTTATTTTTTAATTCAAATTAATTATTTGTATAGTATTATAGACTTCTAGTACTTTGTACCCATATAGTCATATTTTTCTTCTAATTTAGGTGTTAGAATTTTAGAATGTTACCCAAAAACATTTGTCATGGGTGAAAAAATGAATATATTGTTTTTTTAATCTACATTGTTCCTCGATAATTATCATACATCTACAAATATATTGTTTAATCTACATTGTTCCTCGATATCAGACATGTTAAATTTAAAATATGTTATTGAATTTGCTTTCGTTTTGCAAGTAAAATTAGCGCATATATATTATAAAATTTTATACATGATCAAGAGGGGCCGTTGCGACGAGATCGACAGAGAGCCCATAAAATTTTAGGACCGGCACTGCACAAGTTGTGTATAGCTCCTCTCCAGAGTGTAGCGATAAGATAAACTGGGAGCTAGCACGCATGGCATCCAATCCCAAGCCAAATCAGGGAACAACTTCACGAACGGTTGTAGATTTTTTTTTTTTTGCGAAACATTCTTTTTGCAAACAGTTCATGGTGAAACTCTTAAAAACATGCTGAAGTGGGGTGAAACTGAAAATAGGCTTTTTAGTTTTTACTGTTTCATCTTCCACGTATGGACCCCAGTACGGATGAAGGCCTGAGTTGCCCCCGCTCGGGGATGGACCATGCGTGTGCGGTCGCGCGGGGCACGGCTGCTACCATATGCGTCCTGTTCGCTTGGCTTATAAGTCGTATTTTTTTAGTCAATAAATAGTATTTTTCGTTCACAATAAATTAGTCAACGGTACTTTCAGCTATGGCTTATCAGACAAACGAACATGACAATGGCCACCGGGGCATAACTGCCGAGGGCAACATGTCGGGGAGACGTAGCCTCAGGGTGCGACCACCGTGGCTCGCAGCCGTTGGGGCGCATCAGGGCTCGTAGCCTCCATGGCATGGCCACTGAGCGGGCATCAGCATCGGGAAGATAGCGGAGGAAGAAAGAGAGAGAGAGAGGGCCACGGGGAGATGAGAAAAGTATAGAAGAAAAGAAAAGGACAATATAGTCATTTTATTCTTTTAGTTCACTATGAAGCTGTGTTGCGCCAAATGAAGCCGTAATTTCCTCATCGTTCAGCCTCCATATGCATACGACGAATGGATACTGTACCAGTACCTTGGACGGGCAATTGCTGACGGCTCTCCTGGACCCTCAGTTCCTCACCGTGCACCATTGCATTGGAAGACGACGGTACAACACGTATACATATATGTCAGCTATAAACATAGATCTCTACTACGAAAGCCATGCAATCATTAAAATAAGCCAAGGGCATGTTTGTTTTTCTTACTAAAACTAATGACTAAACTTTAGTCACCTTTGTTTAGATCTAGTGACTAAAAGTGACTAAAGATCATTAAAGCAGTTCAACAAAGACCAAACTACTCCTAATGAATGCCCAAATCAGGGTGGATGATCAGTAATAATGAGGGGCAACCCTTATTCACTAGGCATTTTAGCCCACTTTAAGCTACTCTTGGGTGATTAATCTGACTAAACTATTTTAGCCCATTTTTAGTCAGTTTGTTTTGTAGTTTAGTAGCTAAAGTGACTAAAGTTTAGTAGCTACTTTCTCAAAAAAAAAAAAACTTAATTCTAACTTTTAACCTGAACACGGCTGTGTCCGTCCATCTCCAGCGTCTCGGCACGGCGACATGGAACCTACAGCTACAGGGTACTAGGAGTACTTGGTAGTGTAGTAGCCTGCTGTGCTGTACGTACGGGACAGAGGACACAACACACCAACTTCTGCTTGGGTTTTCCGGACTCGATCGGCTTCAATTCCATCGCTGCCATGTTCCGCCAACAGCTCATATTCTGAGCTAGCTACTGTTCTCACACTCCGAAGCCTCCTTGTTTGCCCAGTGCCGAAACTGCCAACAACCACCGCAGGTAGGTCGTCGGGCAAGAAAGAAACTCCTATATATCTTCGGACTACGCGAAGAAACGGCAGGCATGAAGCAGGCAGCTGATCGATGTCCCCAACTCCAACTCCGACTCCAACTCCAAGTCTGAGATCTGGCCAATTTCCAACCGGCGTCAGGTAGTAGCGGCTGGCCTGGCAGTCTCCACCATACGCGACGCGTCTGAACCACCAACAACAGGAAGAGTGATCATCACTAGTCTAGAGAATCTCGTCGCCTCGCTCTTCGGCGTATTCGCTGGTTGGTTTTTAGGCTGGTTTAGGTTGGCTGGTGCTGATTTTTTATAAGAGAAAAATACTATTGGCTGATTGAATAAGTCTGGCTGAAATCAATAAGCGAACAGGGTGCTTGACTCTTCTCGGTCGAGCTTGATTAGCTCTTTTAATGTAAATAAACACTACTAGTATTTCTTTTTTCTTAAAAACACAACTGGCAGTAAAATAAAAGCAAATGCGTTGCATTGGTCAGGCCGTGCTAATCTATGTACGTAGCATGCTGGCATCCCAGTGCACAGTACTGGTAATTTAGTAGAATCTATGTACCATTCTTACGGCTTGTTCGCTGGTTGGTTTCTGGGTTGGTTTGGGCTAGCTGGTGCTAGTTTGTTGTGAGAGGAAAATACTGTTGGCTAGCTGGTTTGGGCTGGCTGAAACCAACAAGCAAACAGGGTGTTAATTAATTAAGCATTCCTCGTGGTACCAGTAGCTTAATATTCGCAGTTAAACAACACCCAGCCTGTTCGATTGGCTGGTTCGTATCGTTGCCTGGTTCGTAAAGAAATACTGCTGGCTAATTTGTGTGAGAGAAAAATACTATTCTGACTGAAAATTTACGATCATTTACGACAAACCACAGCAAAAAAAAAAAAAAAAACTGGCTGACCAGCTGACCAGCTCTAGTACTCCACACCTTTGCGCCCGCTAACAAGTTGCAAAAGCCTTTAATCCTCTGTCCCGTTTTTTTGCGATCGAGGTAACGGGAATAATCTGCCCATCGCCCAAAGGACAAAGGACGAGATGGCAAAATTCGCCATAGATTTCGAGGCGCATATTTCGCAGGGGACCTGCAGGTTTTCTAGAGTTAGATCGTCTCCGAGGAACCTATATGCGTGTCCAAACTCAAAATGAATAAGTAGCAAAAGATTTAAGATCAGTCTTTAATAAAGTACCTATATGAGAGATCTATTTTGGGTTGTCTGAAAGACACAATCTAAATATGGGTATTCTCTCTCCTGAAAACCTATTTATAGAAAGAATTCTCTTTTGGGTTTTGTTGTTGAAGAAGACGTCGAATAAGTATTGAACCTTTTATCTGTAATGTTACCCAAAGGACGAATAAGCCTTGTATTTTAGATGCTGCTGTCAAAGATAGCCTGAGTGTGGGTGGGTGGGGGCCTGGGGCCTGGAGGGGTGCTCTCGGCTCGGCCTCGGCACCGGCCGCTCGTTCGCGTCGGCGACGGTGACCTTGCCCGCCCGCCCGCCCGCCCGCCCGTGCAGTACGCAAAGCGTTCGCCGTCGCAGGCAGCTTTTGACCAGCCGTGATTATACTGATTAGTATGCTAGTTAATAATTAATTAATTAGCCACGCATAGCAGAGGGTAAGTTTGCTTGGACCTGCAACCTGCAACAGGGACGTTGATGGCGATTGGCCCCGTTGTTGGACTTGGAACTTTCTCCAACCAATGGGACTGCTAACTACTACCGGCTGCAGTAAAAATATGCACTACCGTAGACTTTTTATATATTATTAGCCCAAAAAAAGTACTGTAGAGCGATGACTCGTGACGCTGACACCCACAGGTGCCGGATCCGCAAGGGTAAATAAAAGAAAAGAAAAATAACAATCTAACATGATAAGTACAGCTAAATATCGCTATTCTTATCGTCGCGAACTGCCACTAACGTGTGGGCTAACAATTTCATGCCGGAGAGTTTTCTTGCGAACTATGATTGGTCCACCGTGCGTTAAAATTCAAAGACGACAGTGAATCTTTGGTGGAGGGCGCAGGGCGGAGATTCCATAGCCAGATAGCCTCGCCGATATTCTGAATCTCCTAGCGTTACTCGGTGGTGTTTAAATGCAGGACTTATCGGGAATAAATTTATTAAGTCTAATTAATTCATCGACATCACATGTTTACTGTAATTTTATTGTAGCACCACATTATCAAATCATGGATTAATTAGGTTTAAAAAATTCATCTCGTAAATTAGTCACAATCTGTACAATTTGTTATTTTTTTAGTATATATTAAATACTCTATACATGTGTCTAGACATCCGATAGGATAGGGATTAAACTTTAGATGAAGAAATTAAACGAGGCCTCAATCAAACCGCAAAAGAATCCGATCGCATGCGTCAACACCCGCAAGTACAACGAACGACGGAACGAGGCTGCCCTTAGCGTGACGACAAGACGCAATTAGCGAAACAGAGACGGCACTTTTTTTTTTTGAGGAAACGCTCGACGGCACTGCTAACCTAGTAGTACATGAAATGGATGGACTGATGCAATTGTCATACAATTAGGATGGTGCAACCTCAGGAAGTGAGTTACAAGTACAGACTACAGAGATGGGCCTTTCGGCCCGGGAAACAATTACAACTTGGGCCAACCGAAAAGCCATGCGTTGACAACACCGCCTCCCTACGGAGTACGGACCGATTTTCCTCCGCATGCACATGCTTATCTGATTTTCTTCTGACAAAAGAAATTACTGTACTATACATGTACAGGTCAAACAAAACTTGTGTCCCACCACATCATGGAGCCGCAATTCAGCACTTGTTGAATGCTACACTGAACACCTCACATTAGAAGTAGTTTCATCTACATCAGCTGACGACACGGTTTCACTGACAATACAACAACAGGGGTGATTGTAGTCAAAGATGGAAAGAATTCTTCGACATACAGCCGGATATGCCATCGTCAAGAAGAAGCTCCGCCATCCGGTACAATGGGCGGCTGCCCATTTTCAACATTTTGGGGCCTACAGCAGAAGGAAGGTCATGACGACAGAAACCAAGGAAAAACAGGAAAGAGTACTCACTGACTACAAAGGGAAAGAGGAGAACCTCTTTTGATGTCCTGTGGACTCTGAGCGCCTCAAGAATGCTTTCAACCCACCTGTGAAGTGCAATGACAAGATGCGTGCAGATTAGGTAGTAGTCAAGGGATGTACAATATGGTGTGCACACCAGTTCGCAATGTTCAATATCCGTGACGTGGACATGGCAATCGGATAATGTTACTCAAAGGACATCGTGATGTATGCATACCCCTCAAGTCCAGGGGTTGTTGGGTAATATACGCTCTTCAGGCCCAATTTCTTCGCTGCTGATGCAGTGGTCTCACCTATGCAAGCGATGGAGTTGTTCCAGTTAACAACTTTTGAAATAAGATTTAACCATGCCCTGCGATAATAACCAAAAAAAAAAAAACTGAACAATAGAACCATTGGAACAAACACATAAAAACTAACAGTGGCAAAATGGAAAACGATCCAAGGAGACTGATGATTTAATTAAGGAATGTCAGTTGCAAACTATGTTCCCCCAAAATTATTTGATGCTTACATGCTAATTTCTCCAGATCTATTGCTCAACAACTTTACCTTGCACAATTCATGAACACAATTTGTAAAAAAAAAAACCAAATGTCAGTGTATAATTACCTCAATGCAGAAGGAGAAGCTACCGCAACAACTGGAGCTGATATAGCAAGATTTAATGTTAGTGGTTCCACATCTTCTACAGGAACCTGCATGCACACATAACACCTTCATGGCTTCATATGTTACTGTGTTAGCAGAAGACTAATATTGACGTACAGAAACTGTCAAAAATAATATGAAACCCATGGTCAATATTTTCTGATTCTCAACGCAAAATCTCTATTCTGGTCAAGTATGCCACAATCAACTTACAAAACTAAATGTCACTACCAAAGGAAAGAAGGCAAGCTGTGAATGTATAAATATCATTTGTCAGGCTCGAGGTACATCATGATTCATGAGGTTAAGCATCTAGAAAATGAATAGATGACCAAGAGTGGCATTGAGTTCAAGAGCTCACTAAAATTTTAACCTAAAGGAAAAATTAAAACCGTTGAAAACTAGTGAGTTCTAGAGCTTTAACCTACACTGTTGAAAAACTGGGTTCATATGAAGACCAATGACTAACAACAACAACAACAACAAAAGCCTTTCAGTCCCAAACAAGTTGGGATAGGCTAGAGTTGAAACCCAGCAGAAGCAATCAAGGTTCAGGCACGTGAATAACTGTTTTCCAAACACTCCTATCTAAGGCTAAGTCTTTGGGTATATTCCATTCTTTCAAGTCTCCTTTTATTGCCTCTACCCAAGTCAACTTCGGTCTTCCTCTGCCTCTCTTCACGTTACTATCCTGGCTTAGGATTCCACTACGCACCGGTGCCTCTGGAGGTTTCCGTTGGACATGTCCAAACCATCTTAACCGGTGTTGGACAAGCTTTTCTTCAATTGGTGCTACCCCTAATCTATCACGTATATTATCGTTCCGAACTCGATCCCTTCTTGTATGACCGCAAATCCAACGCAACATACGCATTTCCGCGACACTTATCTGTTAAACATGTCGTCTTTTCGTAGGCCAACATTCTGCACCATACAACATAGCAGGTCTAATCGACGTCCTATAAAACTTGCCTTTTAACTTCTGTGGTACCCTTTTGTCACATATGACACCAGATGTTTGGCGCCACTTCATCCACCCTGCTTTGATTCTATGACTAACATTTTCATCAATATCCCCGTCTCTCTGTAGCATTGAAGACCAGTGGCTAACATAGAAATGAAATAAATATTACAAAAACTAGTAATATAAATATTCGTGCTACAAAACAGGTACTACAGACTACCGGAAGCAGCACAACAAGATGCAGATGATGAGTTGTGTGTGTGTGTGGTGATGAAGAAAAAAGAAAAAAACAATAATCTTGCACAAGTGAAACAAAACCTACAGTTGTATATGTATTCAGTCGTGTCACGTCAAATCCTTGATAGCCCATCCTCTGCATTGCAAATAATTAAGTATCATGATGCCTAGAGTCATTAAATAAAAAAGAAAGAAAACACGTTAAGAGTTCATAACCATAATAGTTCAACTAGAAAACCAAAAATTTACTGTGTCTCAGAAATCAGAATTAATTCGAAACATCCTCAAGAAAACATACCATTAGGGAAAAATTGAATACGAGAAACATGTCGTCTTAGTGAAAGCAGAAAAAAATAGTAAAGAGACAATGCTCATTGTAACACCAAAATGACTCACGAATTTCATGGCCACCCTTTGCAGATGCAGGATACAATACTTTACATGAATTCTCATTGCTCCTTGGAAGCTCTGAAGCCAAGACTTTACCTAAAGCTGATGAACAAAGAAATGGAACAAATTAATTAACAATGATAAATAATTGAAGATGAATGGAAGAGCATAAAGTCTTCAAAATACACATGCACTAAGTCTTGAAACTACAAGGTAAGATACCTTTGGAAGGTGAAAATGCAACCTCAAGAGACTGATCACCAGATTCTGATACTTCATGAAAAACCCTTGCAGTTCCTGCTCCAACAACAGCTACTCGCACCTTAGGACTTCCAGCTGCACTGAATAATCATTGTGTAACTTGAGTGAAAAAATGGCACCCTTAGATTATGGGGGTTTCATCTGGTAATGCTATGCACCGTATCAATGATATAAAATCAAGGATTATACTACTACAACAACAACAACAACAACAACAAAGCCTTTAAGTCCCAAACAAGTTGGGGTAGGCTAGAGTTGAAACCCAGCAGAAGCAATCAAGGTTTAGGCACGTGAATAGCTGTTTTCCAAGCACTTCTATCTAAGACTAAGTCTTTGGGTATATTCCATCCTTTCAAGTCTCCTTTTATTGTCTCTATCCAAGTCAACTTCGGTCTTCCTCTACCTCTCTTCACGTTACTATCATGGCTTAGAATTCCACTACGCACCGGTGCCTCTGGAGATCTCCGTTGCACATGTCCAAACCATCTCAACCGGTGTTGGACAAGCTTTTCTTCAATTAGTGCTACCCCTAATCTATCACGTATATCATCGTTCCGAACTCGATCCCTTCTTGTATGACCGCAAATCCAACGCAACATACGCATTTCAGCGACACTTATTTGTTGAACATGTCGTCTTTTCGTAGGTCAACATTCTGCACCATACAACATAGCAGGTCTAATCGCCGTCCTATAAAACTTGCCTTTTAGCTTCTGTGGTACCCTTTTGTCACCTAGGACACCAGATGCTTGGCGCCACTTCATCCACCCTGCTTTGATTCTATGGCTAACATCTTCATCAATATCCCCATCTCTCTGTAGCATTGATCCTAAATATCGAAAGGTATCCTTCTTAGCCACTACTTGACCTTCCAAACTAATATCTTCCTCCTCCCGAGTAGTAGTGCCGAAGTCACATTTCATATAATCAGTTTTAGTTCTACTGAGTCTAAAACCTTTGGACTCCACAGTCTCCCGCCATAACTCCAGTTTCTGATTCACTCCTATCCGACTTTCATCAACTAGCACTACGTCGTCCGTGAAAAGCATACTTGTATCAAGGATTATATGCCTATAAAAAACTCTAGAACCAACATAGACCATGCATTTTGTTAGCCAATAAAACACTGCAATATACTACTACTTGCATAAGGAATGAAACGTAAATTGAGGCATAATTACTACTTGTATAACAACATTGTGCACATAACTGCAATATACTTGATGCTTACTTCCATCCCTGAAGGAACACTGCAGCTGCCTCAGGAGAGGTTATAGTAATCCAGTCAAACTTGTCATCTGTAAGTACAGAATAGCATTGACTAAATCACGAATTTTCGTTGCAGTTCTATACAGCAAGTGTGGAGAGGAGTATATATGAAATGAACAACTATAATATGTGCATGAGAAAATGGAACAAAATGGAAAGAGCAAAATTTTGTATGCTGCATATCCAAAGAATGAAATTCAGCAGATGAACAGTTCAAATCACAAAAAAGGAAAGACTGTAATACTTACTACGTAGGACATCTGAAAGCCTATCTGTATCAGGGCCTTCAACATGCTTTTCCTACAGAATCCAATTAGGAAATCGTTGTAAATGCGAGGCATCAATTAGCCAAAGTATGCTATTTGAAAAATATTAGATTATCTTACTTGCTTAGCCCACAAAAACTTAACCGTTACCAGAAAACCCAGTAGATTCATGCTCAAGCCACTCCGATAATTTTTTATTAAACTACAAGGTTTGGTTATCATCGATTGAAGAGTAAAGACCATGATTCAAGTCAGCTCGAGAATATTTCGAAGCCAGAATCAGCAATGCAGTATGGCCATCAGGCTTTGCACAAAACAGATTAAAGGAGGAATCAATCACACGGAACCGAAGAAAAAAAAACTTTCCAAGAAAGAACGCTGCATTTCAATCACAGGAATTTGGAAGTGCTAACTAATATAAACTCATGAATCCTGATAACAGTTCCAAAAGGTCATACTCATACAAGTAGTGAGACCCACTAGCACCATGAAGAAAATTGCCCCTGAAGTCAAGCCCCATGCTAACCCTTCATCCAGGAAATCAATATGGGGTACACCAATGGCATGGCCTCTCATGTGGGAAATAGTAAAAATAACCACCGATTTGGTCCTTGCACAGACATTCACCGAAGGTCATCCGCCAAACTGACCAAAATTGGTCAATAGTAAGGACACCACAGCACCAACAGCGCCCAAGCCGTTCGTCTTGCCACCCTTCCGGACCTCTAACAACCGATTTCAACAAGAAAGCACAATGGGCGAAGGACCCATTGGGAGACTCACCAGCGCGGCGATGAGCCTGGCGTTCTTTCCCTGCTCCCGCGTCACCATGACGTCGGGAGGGGGAGAGGAGGACGCTACGAACCTCCCGGGTGCATCGGCCCGGAGCGTCTTGGCGGGACGGGCTCCGAAGGTTCCAGAAGGTGCTAAGAAGGGCGCCAGTGACGAAGCGAAGGCCATGGCGCACTGGGGCAAAGCCGCTGGGCGTCGGGCCCCGTGGGCCCGTGGAGGTCGGAGCTGAGGAGAGAGGAAGTGTGGAACAACACGCACGATTGGGATCTGGGGGAGGGGAGAACGAAGAAGAGGAAACGTGCCCATATGGGCCGGGCAGGCTATCCTAATAAAGGCCTAAAGTTACAGCCCAACGTTTTGACCCAACAGTTACGGCCTTCTTGTATTAACAGGAGAAAGGGAAAACATAAAATGCCACCATAAAAAATGCAATTCTAATTCTATCCTTAAATAAACTATCTAAATTTTGATTATATTTATAAAAATATTAATTTTTAATATGGATAAATGTACTGATAATTATTTAATATCATAAATATTGATACATGTACTTGGTCAAAGTTAAAATGAGTTGACATGGTATTATTATAGAATTGTTCTTTTTTCTAGATGGAGAGAGTAGTAGGTGTTTCTTTGACTCCTGCTCACCACTCTTGCTTCTCCATGTGTCCATGAGCCGTCACTACCCTGTGTGCTCGATATGGTGGAGTCAAATACTTGATTTGATCAAGTATTTCACCGTGCCCAAAGCAACCTTTTGTTCCTCGCTTGAAATCATGTCGAAATGTCGATATAAGCCCCTATTGGTCTACCCATGATCCTTGGGCTTAAGGGTTGTTGTTGCCCCTCCATTTGTGCTCCAAATCATCTATATTCTTTGCAAAGCATGTTGGGATATAAAACATGGTGACTCAAATCCTACTTGAAATTAGGATTCAAGAGAGGTATGTATATTATCTGGACTTTTAATTCTATTAGGACTTGAGCTTATGGTCAGTACTTTCATTTAGAGGGGTGACTAACTAAAGAATGAGGAAACTATGGAAACATAAACTACCTATATATGAAGCTTAAGGTCTTCTTATGGATGGTAGTTCAAGATCGTCTGCAAACTGGGGTTAATTGAAACAAAAGAAGTGGAGGGGGAGTAAGAACGGCTGCCTGTGTGGAGTGGAGGAAACCACTGACCATATTTTTTTCAACTGTCATGTTGCAATAAAAGTTGTGTGGAGATGCTTCAAGGAAGCCTTGGGATGGGAGAGCGTGCCAAATAGTGTTCAAGATATTTTTTATTACTGGATTCCTTTATGTTGTTCTAATTACCACATAAAGCTTTTCATGTTCACTGTCATTTTGCGGGGTCTTTGGAATATTCACAATAAAATGGGGATTAAAAAAAGATATTTCCTAAGTCTTCTAATGAAGCTTTCTAGAAAATATTCATATTTCTTGTAGAAATGGTGCTTGTTGTTGAAGGAGGAAGATGCCAGATTCCTGGGTGAGGAGATCATGCGCCCTATTCGTTTCGGCTTGTTTGGTTGATAAGGCATGGTTGAAAGTACTGTTGGCTGATTTGGTGTGAGAGAAAAATATTCAGCCTGTTCGGCAGGCCGTAAACGATCGTAGATTATTTACTGCTGCCTGGTTTGATGTGAGAGAAAAATACTGTTCCAGCTTATAATCCACGATCGTATACGAGCAAACGAATAGGCTGACTGTTCGTTGGCTGATAAGCCATGGCTTATAAGTCAAACACGACCAAGCGAATGGGCTGCATGATGATGAAGGACTAAGACTAAGGATATGGAGGTGGAGGGTCTTTTGTAATTCTCTGGTGGTTTTAGTCGTAGATGCTTGCTAAGAGTAGCTTCTTTCTGTTTAGTGCTACTCGCGTTGGGTTTAGCTGTTGTCGCTGGATGTTGCTGGTAACCCCTGTTTTGTTTTCTTTCTGTTTTTTTTTTCTCGAATACGTAAAAAGATTTACGTATCATTGTATTAAGGAGAAGAGTTTAAAAAAACATACAACACGCTTCTATCGAGCGCTGAAGGAGGTCGACCTAACATAGCCAAAGCTGGACCATCATAACAAAAGACTTCATGTTTCGATATTACATAAAAGGAAACAACCAATATCGACGTAGTTTTGTTTTCTTTGTAAGACTAGTTACATTGCTTTATAAAAGCATGGTTTACCTCCGTCAGAAAAATAATACCATGGCACTAGTATATAAAAATAAATATAACCAAATATACTATATATAATTGCATGCTTGACATAGATATATAATGTTCCAAATGGTCTTGTAAGAATTACATATTTCGTGTACATACACTTTGTTGGACCACATACACACAAAATCTTAAAATACACATATGAAGATAGCTACACATAACTTATAGCTAAATAAGAACGAATCGGTACTTAAAAAATATAAAGACCATTCTAATCTTAAGCAACGGCGTTGATACTCTCCATTTTACGAAGGAGGGAAGCAGCACGGTCCTGCACAACCTTCCACGCCGCGCGGACGTGTTGCTCCTCCGTAAGCGTGCTCCCGATGGCGCACCTGAGCATATAGATGCCACCCACATTTGCGGAACTCATGTACGGCCCGGAGCCAGTCGCGTTTACCTCCTCGAGGAGCCTCCGGTTGAGGTCGTTGGCCGCCTTCGGGCCACCCAACTCCTCCGGCGCCCGGAGCCTGAAGCACACGAGTGCGAACTGCCTCGTTGCCATCACTTCGAAGCGTGGGTCGGCCTTCACCATCCCCTCGAACGACACAGCCATGTCGACATGGCCGCGGATGTGGTCGCGCAGGCCCTCGACGCCATAGCAGCGGAGCACGAGCCACAGTTTCAGCGCGCGGAACCGGCGGGTCAGCGTCACAGACCAATCCTTGTAGTCCACGACGTCGTGCCCCTCAGCGGCCGCGTCTTTGAGGATGTACTCCTGCTCCGTGCCGAGCGCCGCGATGAGCAGCGATGGCTTCTTCACCCAGAGAACGCAGCAGTCGTTGTTGGCCAGAAGCCACTTGTGAGCATTCATGCTGAAGGAGTCCACGGCTTCGGCGCCGTCGATCAAGTGGCGGAACTCCGGGCAGACGAGCGCCGAGCCCGCGTAGGCCGCATCCACGTGGACCCAGACACCGTGCGTCGCCGCGACGGCGCACAGCTCGGATAGGGTCCACGGCCGTGGTCTGAGTGGTTCCGACCGTCGCGCACAGGAAGAGCGGGACCAGCCCGGCGTCCACATCCGCTTGCATGGCGGCCTGCAGCTCGGTTGGCGAGAGCGCGAACATGTCGTCACGGTACGTGGCGATCTCGCGGCAGTTGTCGCGGTGGATGCCGGCTATATGTGCTGCCTTGCGGAAGGCGAAGTGTGTCTGGTCGGAACAGTACACGACGAGGTCTCCGATCCTCCCGCTACCGATGTCCGCGAGCTTCCGGTCCCTCGCGGCGACAATGGCGCAGAGGATGGCCTCGCACGTGGTGCCGAGAAGCGTGCCTCCTCCGCCGCCGCAGAACATCAGGCTCTCGGGCAGGTGGAGCGCCTTGCCGAGCCAGTCCACGACGACCATCTCCAGCTCCGTGGCGGCTGGCGAGGCGGCCCACGTGAAAGGAACGATGTTGATGCCGGCCGTGAGGGCCTCGCCGAGGGCAGCGACGGTGCTGCTGGACGCGGGGAAGTGCGCGAAGTGGCGGGCGCTCTGCCAGTGCGTCATGCCAGGCAGGATAAGGTCACGGACGTCTCGCAGCGCGGTACCGAACGCGTCGGACTCCGGACGCGACGGTGCGTTCGCGGGGAGCTGGTGCCGCAGGAAGCCAGGGTTGACGCTGGGGTGCACACGGGGTAGTCGTCCATGCGGGCGTAGTAGTCGGCGATGAAGTCGATGACCTGGTGGCCCTGCCGGCGGAACTCGTTGGGGTCGAGCAAGCAGGAGTGCTGTGGCGGCACATTTCCCGCTCCCGCAGGGAGGACGGCGCCGTTCTGTGGGGCGCCATTGTTGGTGTAGAAGTGTGATGGCGGGGCCATGGATGAACTAGTGCTCCGATTAGCGGCACCTTCTACTCGTTGTAGAAGTGAGAGTAAGAAGATGTGGTAAATATCGAGAGACTGATGCATGAAATACGAACCGCCTTCGTAGCTATTTATATGCAGCGGAAAGGTACGGTGCAGGCTGGGTGCACACGCGCGCAAACAGGTAGTTGCCGAGTAGTTGCCACTTGCCAGTAATGGAAAGGAGTTGTTTCATATTTTTCGTGACTTTGCAATGGAAATTTAGTAAGCTACCAGTAGACTTTAGACGAGTCATACATCTATATGGAAGATCCTACTACTAGTACAGGTAGTATAAAATACGAGTACTCCAAACCAAGAGTCTTGCCCCACTGGCAAGTCTCGATCTTCCTAAAACATGCACGTTGGCAACTTGATGTCAACATGCAGGAAATAGAAATAGAACGCAATAAACGTCACAATGTGTAGCACGCTACATTTTACTAAAGTCGATTGAATGACAACCTGGTGGGGAAAAAAACGAGATGCGCATGCACGCGTGTCGGCGCGGTTGGTGCGTGCCGGCTGCAGACCCATCATGCACAGACTGACCAAGTGACCATACATGCGCGATGACTTGCCGCCGCGTGCGTGCGTGGGTGCGTGTCGTTCCCGGATCGAACGCGTCAAAACTGCCCATTATTAGGTTAGGTAGGCTTTCACATGTGCGCACACGTGGTGCATCAGTGCATGCGCCCATGGAACGACCGTAGCTGACCGGCCGGTTCTCCGATGGGTGTGCCGTGCGGCTTTCTCTGATTTCATATATAATTAAATTAATTTAGTCTAAGAGCGTTACAATGTTGTATTATGCATGAACCATTCATAGTACACATACATTGTTATTGGTCACGTTTGAGTACGTACTCATTCCGGGACGGATCCAGCTGCGGGGCGGCGCAGGGCTCTAGCCCCTCGTGCCGCCGCCGGACCCATTGAGCCTTCCCTACAATTTTTTGTCATGGATACACCGAGGCCGAAGTTGTCTACAGATTTAAGAAGCCCTCTTAACATTTATTCTGGATCCGTCCCTGGTTTCAAATATACAATACATGACACCGTGTTATTTTTTATTATTCTCAATTTACTATTTATCTTCGTGTAATATATTTGCGCAAAACATGGATGAAGGCACGGTAAAGTATTTTCTATAGTAGACTTAGGGGGTGTTTAGGACTGCTCCGCTCCACGTTTTCTTACTCTGCTTCACGTTTTTTAGCTAAACGGTTTCGGCTACACGCACTCTGTTCGAGAAAAAAAAAGGTGCTCCACAAACTCCAGTTTTTTGTGAAACTGCTCCACGGTGGAGTTTGTGGAGCAATGACAAACACCCCATTAATCAGGGATGTTTTGTTTTCACTTTACTCAACTTGGTAACTAGCACGGGATGGCAGCACGGCCCTTTGGCTATGATGAACTTGTTATACTGCTTTGCCTTACAATGCAACAAATCCCACCAGAACATGATTCCATTAACGTTGTCACTCCCGAGACTGAACAATCTAGGGTATAATAAGATAAGTTTTATTCCTAATCAAAACTACATCAATAATATGGTGGTAAATCTCTCCTCAAGGTTCAAAGGAATATTATATTTATTATTTGTTCTCTTCTCAAGTTTTTCTTCCTCTCTTTTTAGTGTATTTATGGACATGCCACAATCTAGCCTTTATGCTGGGGCTACTGTTTTTTTGCCTAAAATCAGGGCTCCGCTAGCTCCTAATTCTCGTTATGTAAATCGAATCTTAATGAAAGCTAGGTGGGGAAGCTCTTCCCTCCGTAGTTCCTATTAAAAAATATTTATTATTTATTTTTATATTAGGTATTAAATAAATATAAAAAAGGCAGTGATAGAAATACAGGGTAATAAATAGATACTTCGTGTAAAGAAAAGCACTGAGGATTTTTTGGTACATTAGTAACGAAGCAAAATGACATGAAAATCTGGAGGTGGACAGCTGGCAAGGGTTCCAGTTCCACCAGATGGACCTCGCCGCCGGGCCGCCCTGCGTGTTCCTGCCGCCCGACCTGCCCATCGAGGGGCTCATGATCTTCGTGCCGTCGCACACTGCCAAGGGCGGCGTCGACCTGTTCATGGCCGTTGCGGAGTGCCACGTCGACGCGTTCGAGCAGATCTGCCACTCCGTCGATTGATCAAACGGCTTACGACGCACAGCATGGTTTCGCTTGCGTTCACTAGCTTCATTGTGATGATTGCAGGGCCATACCTAAAAATTTGAGACCTGGTGCAAAACTCAAACTGAGGCCTTATATCTGAAATATAGCAATAGCCAAAATACTGTTCTAAATCATTACAACCAGCTGGTATGCTGGCGAGCGGCCAGTTGACAAGTTCGGTTGCACGCCCAGAAAAACACCCACATGAGCACTATAGAGCTATTAACACTCTCTTCTCTCTTGCACTTGCACTTCTCTCTCTCCCCTCCCCCTCTCCTCTCTCTCCTTTGTTGTGTTCTATACATCAGAGTCTGGCCTCCTACAAGCGCAATACAATGACGAGAGCCTACACACACACACACACTAAAGATTCAAGGCCGAAAAAATTGTGTTCTATGGCTACTACCACGAGTTCGCTTGGAGCTCTAGTAGTGCATGCAAGGAAGCAAAGTATGCCGGCATGTTTGTCGGCACCTTTGAACCACTGCATCTCAAAACACTCAGGCGAGAGACACCATGACAGAATATGCAATCACTGTCGGGTATGATGGAGCCGGCAGTGATTACTCTTCGTTGACGGGTCGTAATCCTAGAATTTGAACAAATATTGGGAACTCTACTTAACCGACGATGAAGGCTCCTATCGCTGTTGGGTAGAGCCACAGATCGACAGTGATATATCACTACTAGATTGAGCGACAGACTGGTAGTGATATCACTGTAGGTTTAGGGTTTGATCTGACAGCAAAATGAAGACATCGTTGCTAGGTTGTATATTGACCCAACAGTGTTCGGTGCCATTGAGTCCACCAAACCACCGATTACTTTCTTAACCACCATTGGATCCACCTACTGACAAGGACGGGGTCCTGATCTTCCGTCAGGAGATAACTATTGATTTGGTGGAGCCATGGCACACCGATCCGACTTCAGGTCATAAAGACCTGAATCCTGCAACCTTAGCACCACCGTTTCATTCTTCCTTAGGCTAGCCAATTGCTTCTTGCTTAGGGGAATTAAAAGTAGAGAGAGTGAGATCCTCTTGCTTTAATCTTCTACTTTAAGAGGGAGGATGAAGGGTGGAGGCTAGTCCTCATTTCTATAGATGAATTCATGGTTACTATGGAGTAAGAAATCGAGTTGAAATCATCCCCTTTATCTCCTCTCTAGTGTGCCCCCCAAACTTCTCTTTTTGTGGATTTTTGAAGCTAATTTTAAGAGTTTTTCCTTCTGCTATGTTGGCTAGTTTGTATTCGATTTTAGAGTGTTTGGGACCCTTGGAACTTGATCAAATCATGGCTTGAAGCCCAGCACCTTTTTCCTAGTTTTCAAACCCCAAAACCTCTCCTTTCAAGCTTCTTTTTGTGATTTTGGTGGACATCTTTGATATGAAGGTTTTGGGTTGATCTTGATTGTTATTTAGGTTTTATGAGGCCTTGGGAACTTATCTATGCACTATATTTTACACAGATTTCTCACAAGCACCTAGAAATCAGCTTTTTTAGAATTCTTGATAAAACCCTATTTTGACAGAGGGATTTTGAAATTCCTATTCAAGTTTTGATGTTTTTTACAACACCCTTTGGGGATATCTTCACTATGCTCTAGGGAATTGATCAGGTTTTAGTATTTTTTCATCTTGTTTTGGAGGCTGTTTTCTAGATTGTCTCATAATTCCAACCATATCTCGGAACTCCTGACCTCAAGCCTCAGACATTACCTACGCAAGTCTGAACTTCTGACCCTGTGTCAAAACTTCCAACCCCAACCTCCGACCTTAGTCTGTTAAGTGTTTGTTTTCACATTTGCTTTGTTCTTTAGCTTTTCCAGCTTTGTACTTAAGTTCAGTAGCCTCATCATGACTATAGGAACTTAAGTTGGCTGAGAATGAAAGAGTTTTTGGGATATTTAAGAAATAGGCCAAATTTCTTCATTCGACGGAGAAATTGTTTTGGCTCCCATCCCTCCTGGTCATCTCTTCGGTCCATCAGTTTGAACTTTACTTGGAAATACTTTCTTATGATCCAATTTTTCGTACCACAAATTAAATGATTGATTAGGAGATAGAACAAAGAAACGGTTGTGCAGGGCAAAAGGTAGAAGGATAAGGTGCGTTGCTTCCTCTGATACAGAAGAATAAACCATCTGATTCTCTCGACTCATCTATTTTATATACTAATCCAGTTAAGTATGTATATGCATTTAGATAAAATTTTAGGGTCCCTAATTTTTTGTGACATGTGTCATCGCACCCCACTTGTGCTCACATTGTACGGGCCATTACAAAGGGAATCTTATAATGGCATGAATCCAATTTACCCATGCATGTATCATCTCAACAGTTTTCAACAATAGCTTATTACAAAGGGAATCTTATATTATATTGTACAAGTGATTTTCATAAAATGAGAGTGTATAAAATTTTTAGTGCGATTTCCTTTTGAGGGAGGTTTTTTAGAGGTTGATGGCCAAAGTTCAAGAAAGGGTTAATTGGCATTATAATTTTCGATGTTTGGAGAAACGCCATTACTATTCGTCTATTTTGAAGCATGCCATTACAATTCTTCGTTCCCCATAAAAATGCCACTGGATACGTATGGAAACAGCTTGGGCCGAGCTGCAGGCATATACGAAGACGTATACTTCATCTCCCCTGTCACGGACACGAGGGCTCCACATGTCATCTTCTTCTTCCCCTTCTCCTCGTCTCTCTCCATCCCGACGACGCGGCCACGGCCACGGCGAGCAGCAGCACGCCGGCAGCCCGCGAGCAGCAGCAGCATGCGGCCGAACAGCAG